CCTGCTGAAGTGAATACTGATTAAACATCTTGTCTTACATGCATTTGAAAATTCCATTATGCATCTTTCTGTGCCCAAAAGACTGTGAATATGGTGTTGGGTTTGTTTTTGGGTTTTTGTTTTGTTTTGTTTTAAAAAAAGGTCTGGATTTGAAGATTTCAGAATCCATTAATTTTGTCATACTAGTTTTATTCTTTCAGAAACAAGCTGGATACCTACCATAATTTTGCTGTTTAATCTTTGTATTCATTAGTTGGACATTTCTCTGCACCTGATTCTTCAGTGTAACGCAAGGTATAAAAAGAAAGTTCTTCTTACAAGAGAAGCATCAAGTAGTCATATTATATAGGCACGAAAATATCATCACTCACTGCCCTGTCAATGCAGCTGAGGGAGAACCTGATACTGGAACAGGAGTAGTGGAAGCTCCCTGGGCCCACTAGACAAGTCTTCACCTCGTAACCATCAGAGCACACAAGTTCTTCCTGTAGGACTCGGTCTTAACACTGTTTTGCACCTTGCTATTGAGAGTAGAAGACTGTTCCAAAGTCTCTCTGCTCCAATTGCCAGGAATGTTTTCACCTTTTTTTGGTAAACTTACAGCCAATTTATACACATGTATTTTTGTGCCAACATTATTCTCTAAAATAGTTTTTCTCTATTCTGTTTTCTCTACTGTTTTTATAGCAAGTAACTTCATCTCTCAGCTTTTGATTTGCTAGGTTAAACAAACGAAGTCTGTTAGTCTTCTCTTGTAAATTAAGATTGTATTGATCGTCTCGGTAGTCATCTTCTGTGCCTGTTCCAGTTTGAATGACCTTTATTGAATAGGAGGGACTACACAGGGTGCCAGAGGAGGCCCTGCTATAGCTGTGTATGGCACAGCTTCTAAAGTCTCTGCCATCTTTCTCTCTACTGGAAAATTCTCCTGATTTCACTTGGGTTTTCCTCTTTCACACTGGCACCTTTTCACAGTGTCATCCTGTGGTTGCCTGATATATCCAAGTCCTTCTCCCAAGCTGCTTGGTTGACAGGCTTCCACCATGCCATAGAACCTCTGTGTCACTGTTGTATTATTTTCCACTTTGTTTTACAGACTTCTGCCATATTTCTGTTATTCCAGTTCTCATGATCATCCTGTTGCTTTCTATACCATATCCTCTTAACTTTTTCTTATCTAATTGTATCATCACTCATAATCCTTGTGATGTCTCATTAACTAAAACGCTAGGCAAGATTAGTCCCGAGACAGTATCCAAAATACAGAAGATGTAATCCCCATTCCTAAATGCATGAAAGATAAATATAAATTAAGGTTATTCAGCCGAATGTTTTGGCTGTAACATTAAGATATTTCTGTCTACTCAGACTCCATAGCTGTTTTTCTGGACTGTTCGTGTAGGTACCTAGGAGACATTGAGTAATGAATAACAAATGACTTCTGTTTTGACAACAGTGCCAAGGGCCTTCAATCAAGGGTTGGGCTCTATTACAAAAACAATCCTTGGACATATGCTTTGGTGAAATAAGCGAAGAATAAGCAGTTTTGTATGTGGGGCAACGTAAAATGAAGTGTAAGGGTGATGATGGAGAGAGAAAACACATGTAAAATCATTGACTAACTAGAGGGAGACTTTGTGACTCCAGACCAGATGAAGAAAGAACTGACAAGATCTTGAAAATAACCTGTGGCTGAGAAGAAAATTGGAATCACTTTTTCTCCTGTTTTATTAATTCCTAGAGAGTTTTGTTCTGTTGTGATGTGAAGCTTGTGTGGAAACTTGCTTCTAGTGACTACAGTACCTCCCTATCGCAGGCAGCACCCAGGAATACTCTTTTAGAAAGCCAACTCCTGCAGGCTCTTGAACTTGGAAAGTCCCTGTTACTGCCAACTCTGAGCCCTGACGATGGCCTGGGCACTGTAAAGGGAGCATCTGAACTGCTGGAGCAGGGAGCATCTGAACTCCCCAAATCTATGAGTACTGTTGATTATTCAATTCAGTTGTTGTATCAACGAACCGGTGACATGAAGCAGTGATTTCACTTCTTGCGATGATGGCACAAAAACGCCTCTCTGTTTCTTCAGAGATTCTCATTGCTTTCTGCTTCTGCCATTCTTGATTAGAGTTTTCTCTTGGAGTTTTTTGAGTTACAAAATCAGTCTCTACAATGTAGAACTGGCTAAAAGGAAAAAAAAAGATTTGCTTAGAGAGTTTACAACATAAAAGCATCCTGAACAGACAGAATCTGGAAGCCTTAACACACTTAGGGGAGATCAGTGGTTTGCAAAAAAACCCCAAAAAACAAAACCAAAAGAACCCCCAAATTCTCAGAAAACCAAACATGGGGAAAAGTAATAAAATTTGTACTGAGCTGCAAAATGAAGCATCCCACACACATTAAAGGCATTTTATAACTGTGTTAGAAGCAAATATCATAAAGTTACTGATCTTTTCCTGTGAAAGACTTAGTGAAAGAGATGCAGTAGCAGGAAAGATCCTGCTTTCTCCTAGCAGGATGCCAACAGTTATCTTAACCACCTCTGTCAGGTACTGCAGCATTTCAAAATGTACGAAGAACAAATAGATTGCCTTAGATTTGTGTAATTCCTCAGCAACTTACCATTTTCATCATCTTTTGTAGAATGGGTGTTTTCCTACTAATATTTCTTAATTATTTTCTCAAATGATTATATAGCCATTTTTCTAATTGATCCAGGTTGCAAAATTCCTATCTTTTTTTTTTTTTTTGAGGTTTGTGTGCCTGTTTATGAAGAGGATATAGGGAGAAAGCATTCTGTTAAGGTTTTAAGCTAACATGCCAAGTCTGAAGATGTGAGCCATAGATCACTTAGGTACCTAAATGGGGCATCTCTGTGTTTCTGCAGAGTTGATATGTTGTTGAAGCCTATCCCCAGCCATAAAGCAAGAGACCTAACATTATTCTGAAAATAAATGTTGTCTGTACATCTGCTGCTAAATAGGTAACAGCCAGAACTGGCAGCTTTGAGATTTTGTTTCTAGTTAGGAAGCAAAGGAAAATACACAGTGAAGGACTAAGATAAGTTATATAGATTTCTGGGAAATCTTAGAGGAGTTTTGTTGGGAGGAGGTTAGTTTTAGTTTTTACTGGTTTGGTTTTTGGGTGTTTTTCCTGAAGGGCTTAGTACAGAGTGCAAACATATGCTGACAGCTGGTAAACTGGAGGTCAGTTTTCTTGGATGGGTGACGGTGGGAGGTCACTGAAGGATGTTGTTGTGTGATAGGCATGCCTGCTCCTTCTCTCTGTGGTCTAGTAGTATAATGCTTAATAGAGCAAAGTCAGGCAAGGACCGCAAAAAATTTGAAGTGTTTTGTGCCTCAGGATTTTAATGAAGTCCTCCAGAAGGAGATTTACAAACTAGGCACAACATACGACATCTGACCATCATTCTGAGGGAGTTTATGAGTCCGAGAATATTATGTCTTCTTTCTCTAGATCACTTGTTTGAGCTCAGCCCACCAAGTGTCACCATCCTTTTGATGCTCTGCATGAAACAAGTCTAATTTTCTCTGCATTGATTCTTTGGAGGCAAAGCTCATCGCCTCAATGCTGCTACCATACCATCCCAGCATGAGACACCAGTGAGCGACTGGCTTGCAGGAGACTCTCCCTCTAAAAAGCTGTGGCCTCAAAAGCATGAGGGAACAGGATGTGATCTGATTGCCCATGCAAGAGTGGTCCCTTCACTAGTGCTCAATAGCTTATGTTCTTAGAAAAGTATAACAGCAGGCAAACAACTAGTATTTGCTCTAGTTCTATCCCCTGGAAAATCTCAGCTACATTTTTCTCCATAAAGAACAGAGCAGATGTGACGTATTTCTGTTCCCATCAACAGGCTTATATCTGCAAAATGTGGTTGTTCCCTTTGGTCTTGAAAAGAACAGCTTGTATCCTTAGCAAACAGGAAAAATAGTCTGGCATATTTGGGAAAAAAAACATTAGCAATATTCAAAGAACTCACATGTTTACTATAAAATATACAAATCCACACAGAAGAAAAAAAGGAAGATTTTGGAAAATTTATTAGAGAATCTTGTCTCAAAAATTAAGAATACTTCAGTTTTGCTAAGGTTACATGCATGCAGCCAAACCACCTTTATATATTCCACCTCCTTGCTTCATTTCTTGTAGTTTCACATCTGATACCTACCAGTCACTGACAATCACTTTCCTGCAGGGAAAAAATACCAACCCTGAGAGTTATCTGATTTTTGGATTGGAAGTACTGTTCACTCTCTCTGGAAATGCTGACTCACTTGACAGCTCAAAAGAAAATCCAAAACCAGAAAAGCCCTCTAACACCTTTATGGGTGCTGAGATGCACAGGCAGGATACAAACGCTTCAGGGCACACACCTTAGGAGGACTTTAGACACAGGATTTTGGCAGAAAAGCTCAAGTACTTACTGATTTCTGGTGGTTGGGTGGAGTTTTTATTGTTCAACACACTTTTTGTGTTTCAGCATCTGTCTTTGCTGTCCAAAGCCACTTGACTCCTTTTTGGTGTGGAGTAGCCTGCTCCAGTCCTGCTTCAGGTCATTTCTTTTCTAAGAAAAAAAAAAAAAGTATGATATAGTCTATAACACTTTGAGCCCAAGAGCTACCTACACTTATTTCACTGTTGCAACATATCATTTGAGCTTCAGGAAAGTCCTCAACCATCTTTCCTTTGTTTTCTTGCAGGCTCTGATACTTCACCAGCTCGGGCGCTATAGCTTGGCAGAGAAGATTCTCAGAGATGCCGTCCAGGTGAACTCCACAGCCCATGAGGTCTGGAACGGCCTGGGAGAGGTGCTGCAGGCTCAAGGCAATGATGATGCTGCGACCGAATGCTTCCTGACGGCACTGGAGCTTGAAGCTAGCAGTCCTGTGGTCCCTTTTACCATCATTCCCAGAGTCCTTTGAGAGGGCATCTTGATCCACCTATTTTGGTCTGACTTCTGGGTGAGGAAACCCAGTGTATCAGGCTGCCTGGTAACTGGTTAGTTTGAAAAACTTTAGAGCTACAGGTAACAAACTCCAGTCTTTTGCGGGAAAGTGGCCAAAACAGTGACGTGATGCAATAAGTTAAATGTTAGACTAAGAGGACAGAATGGCTAGCCAGAACCAAATCACTCATATCACCTACATTTTTGTCCTGGTAGTTTTAAAACATCGTTATATTGTTCATGGATGATGTGCCATATTTTGTTAGTGATACTTGAGTGTTACATAAACTTATAATGGAATCGACTACCAAACATAGAATAATATATTCCGGTTAAAATTCAGTGGCAGAGCGACTATTTTTAACAAGGCTGTTAATAAAACTGTTCTCTTCCTGCCTCTCAACCTCTTTTGGCCCAAAGTCAAAATGTGAATTTTCTGTTTCCATCTCTATTTTAGTCCAGGCCAAAAAATGAGTTGAGTTCTTGGTTTTAGTTGTTAATAACTGTGATGTGTGGCTAACTGTTATCTCTATTTAGAGCAAAGGCTGAGTACGAGAATATTTATATTTTACCAATGTATGCCTGTTACAAACAATATATTAGTTATTTAAGTTTAACTTTTTTATGTGAATTCAGAGTTTATTTATCAATGGAAATATGTAAAAAGAAGCCTCAAATGGAGTATTTACCGACATTCCTTATACATGACCCACACTTGGCTAAATGGGAAGATTATGTTAATAATAAAATGATTTTTAAATGGAACCTCTCCTGAGTCCTGGTTAAGAACCCAGGGGGAAATAGATGACTTGTGAACACATTCTTATGATATGAGGCCTGTGGCTGACTGGCCTCGAGGATGAACACCACCAAAATTAAATGCCCTGAGGCCAGTCTAGAGAAAAGAAGCTGCTATACTCTTTGCCAATGGTATTGCTATCTTAGATTTCAGTTTTCCTTAAATCTTCACTATTTCTCCCTTTTTATTCCTTCCACTCCAGATCTTGATAAAGCCAGATTATTCTGCCTCAACATAATACATGGACATTTACACATACCTTGGTAGTGCTTGGGAGGAGCATGTTAAATATTTATACACTGTTCTTCAGGTTTTTTTACCTGTCTTCATAGCTCTTTCTCAGCATCTCCTGCACTTTGCGTCCCTTGAAGGAAAAGTTGGCTGGTAACAAACATATTGCTGCCATACCGGTGGTAACAGGGACAAACATTCAGTAGACAAATATTTGCCACAATTTCTCTGGGATGTGTAGAGAAGAGTCGTTTATTGCCATGAATATTCAGGGTGCGTGAGCTGGGGTAGTCTAGTGTCTGTTCATTTACAACGTTGGGCTTGTATGGAGCCTGTGAAGAATTCCAGGTCCCCCGTTGGACTGGGTGCTCCTTGGTATTTGCAAGAAGTGGTTTTAAAGTGCTTAGCACAAGATAGCAGATGGTTAAGAAAAATAATGGCAAATGTTTTAATTTGTCACTCACCAGAGAGCTTACTCACCTCAAATGCATGGAGGATCCTTGCTGCAACACAGGCTTTGTGCGCTCCAGTGAAAATCTCCAACTGGCAGAATACTTAAGCTTGGGGGAGGCTCTTCATTTTTGCCTCTTTTTTTTTTCCTCCTGGCATTTCATGTGCCTTTTAGGCTGAGGCTACTTTCCAATTGTGTCTGCTTAGTGCTTAGACCATATGTTCTCTGTAAAGTGGACTGAAAGGCTGTAGTAGGTAACGTTTTCAAATCTGTTTAAAAGCCAGTAGAAATTGTGTCATCTTGCTCACTGTGAAAAATCAAAGTTTTCCTTCCCCTTTTAAATGGTTTTGCATGTTTTCTTCCTACTGTCCTTGGCTTTTTTTCCTCTCTGCCAACTGTTCGTTCTTTTCTATTCCCAGCTCATAATACATGCTCTGGCCCTGCTGTCTTTTAGCACCCGCTATATGGTATCTGATGTCCAAAAGGTACTACAAAACCTTTATTCATTTAATTCAATTCCTCCTCAGCCTTACTGCTATCCTAGTTCACTTAAATTTGTAATACCTTTCACAAGCATGCTCCTTCACAACATTTATTCACCTTTTATTATAATATCAAAGCTTTTCTAACAAGGCAGTTGCACTTGGATCTGAGACTGGTGGTCTCTCTCAGGAGAACTTCAGACAAGTGGAGAATAGGAGAATTCTGTAATAGCAGAATTTATCTTTGATTCTTCTCATTTAATTTAAAGGCCTGGCCTCCTTTGATAAACTCCCAAAGTGGAAAGGTTAGCAGTGTAATTGTGCCATATCTTTTTATTAGTGGAGAAATTGTCATGGCTATTGCGTATACCAGGTGAACCTGAATATCTGTTTCAATTTTTCTTAGACTGGAATCAGTTTCACTGTAAATCCACAGGATTCTGCCTCTTGCAAATAGCCTCAGCTACCTGTTTTTAAAAATGGATTATCACTGTAAGACTGTTCATTCAGGAATTTTGAGGCAGAAGTGGAAATCCTTGCAGTGTATGAATTAAATGGCAACACCTGTTTATACATCATTTTCAACTTAAAAAAAAAATTGCTAGGATTTACAGCTGTAATTTTTTTTTTAATCAAGTAAGAAGGCCAGGAATATTTTTATGTTTATATTAGTTGATACACAGATAATATCAGTAAATATCAGTTTATTATTTATATCAATATCAATAAAACAGTTGATATACAGAAAGATCTGCCGTGGTGCCAGTGAGTCAGTGTCATCTGCGTGAGGGTTGCTTGTGGACTTTGTGGCTGACCAAATCTCTGTGTGGTTACACAGATCGGTGTGTGCTCTCGCTCCCCCAGCCTGTGTCAGAAATAATAGCTGTTCAGGTGAATGGTGAGGTACATCAGGGGCTGATCCAGCTGAAAACTAAGCCAACCCCTTGCTCCCTTGCCCCAGGGTTTTACTAAGCTTCGGGTAAAAGCCTAGTAAAGGCTTCAGGTAGTTCTTTCATCTGATTTACTGCATAAGTAGTAGCACGAACATGCAGAAGAGGAGACAGGACTTCCCCTCCGTGCAGCTGCCTGTACTCACACCAGCTTAAAATGGTTATTAAGTTGCGTTGTCAAGCACTCTAACTGTATCGCTATAATGACAGGTTGCATAAGCTTGAGATCTCCAGCCTTTCAACAGGGATCAAATACACTTCTCTTATCCTTAAGACTGGAATAGCAGGTTTCGGAGGAGACTTCCCTTACTCTGCAGTGTGCTTGTGCTGCTCAAAATGATTAACATTTGGTGTATTGAGCATGTGCTAACAATCTCTGTTGCACATGACAAAAGATCTGACTCCACAGTGCTTACTATAAGAAAACTTATAATTCACGTAATTGGTTAAAGTTCATCTCTAATTTTGGAGCAGATAACCATTTTTACTCCAGGAATTATTTAATTTCTTTTTTTTTATGATTGATATAGAACCACAGGAACAAGAGAATCAATCCAAGCAGAACTAATCCAACTGTATCTTTGAAAACTTTTGTCATTAATTATATGCATTTTAAACATCAAAGGCTATTTGCTATAATTTTGCTTGAAAATCCTTTTTTCCCCCTGAGTAGACTGTTCTACTCTGGAATGATAGCATAAGCCTGGGTATATCAGAGTTCCAGATTTACCTCACTAATTCTTTGTTTGTTCAGTTGTCAGTTAAAATGACATTTTTCTTAACTGTCAATCTGGCAATTATCCTTTCTCCTCTAGCATCAAGTTAAAAACCTTGTATGCTAAAATATGCGTTCAGCAAGTACACTTCTCCAGCATTTCATCTACTTAAACCTCATCGTCTCCAAACTACCTTCTCTGATCCTGCAGCAGGCTACGCCGAAATGTGTCGCATTTCCACATGCACCTACGTTATCAGAAAAAAATAGCTGGTAAGAATCCTTCTCGGGGACAATAGGGGAGATGGTGAATATCCAGCTGTTGGCCTGCGTGGTGGTTGTCACTGATGATGTGAAATTTGATGGGAGTCTCTCAGACTTGCAAAGCCAGCAAGTGGGCTTGAAGAGATGGGACAGTGATGTTAAACCTAAAGAGAATCAGAAAGAAATGCAACCTTACGCTTTTGGGGGAAGAAGAGTGTGTGTGGGGTGGGTGGTGGTCAGACTTCGTTCTTCCACGTGGTCCTGATACGCTGATTTGCCACCACTCGGCCTTTCTAGTTCCCCCTTCAAAGCGCCTTTGTAGCCCAAGTGCCTAGTCTCCCTAACTATTATTTCAAAGACAGAAAACTGTACCTTTTAATTTCTAAATAATTTGAAAAGGTGTAACCACATCTGTCCAGCTCCTGTTGCATACCCAGTCACGGGACGGACAAGCACTAGGCACCACTGTGCTGTCATTTTTTCACCGGACATTTTCAGAGCACAACGGCTGACACGTGATCCTTGGACACAGTCTGTAAGGCACGGCAGGAGCACACAGCAAAGCTCCCAAGGTAGGAGGAAGAGTGCCTTTGCCTTTCTAAATATGCCTTCACTTTTAGAAGACTTGTTTGGAGGAACTGAGTGTAAAATCCCATCTTGGACATTAAAGGGTCGATGAAGTGTGTCGTTGTTGTGCTGAATTCTTTTCCTTTGTGTCCTTAAGGAGAAGGCAGGCATCTCTGTAGGACAGATTACCCTTGTCTGCTTCATGCAGGTATAAATCTCTACAGCCGGCCCCCCCGCTCTGCACCGGAGTAGCGTGACTTGCTCTTGGCTCCCTCTCTGCCTCTAAAATTGCCTCCCCAAGAAAGTGACACTCTTCAGTATGAAATTACTGAAGGCATTCCGTCTCTCTGGCTTGAAAAAAAAGTCAGTAGACAATTAAATATGGTAATGATAACATTTGTTGGTTATTGCCACAGTGACATGGCTTTAAAAAGATGTGGAGTCAGTGCTTTTCTGTTCATTTCTATAGCTGAGCCCCCACTCCTCTGCCAGGACGGTGAAGCCAGGGCTCCCTTCGGTTTGTTCAGCTGAGGAACAAACATTGGATGAGCATGTGTGCCCTTGGGCTCGCCGCCAGAGAGAAAAATAGACTTGCTCACGATTTTTTTCAATGTAATTTTTTTCTACACGCATGCACGTGCTCACAGGTTACAGGTGCACTTTACACTTAAGGCAGAAAGTTTTGAGAGGACTTGAAGTTCCTCTGCGAGTTCGCTTCAGCTCCTATTAAAGCTGTCTCCTCTTATAAACAGGCTTTGCTTTTCCAACATAGAGTTGGCGGTGCCAGAAAAGGAAATTCTGACTCCAATTTTCACTTCCAACATGCATCAGATGTATATCGAATAATGAACCTGAAACATTATTATTAGTGCAGGCTTTCCCAGGATCATTGTGTTCCAAACAGCACTGACTACTAATGTGGGACTGGAGGGGGCAACAGAGGCCATAAAACATAACAAGTTTCTTCCCTTTTGACTGTCTTGCAAAAATAGCTCTTTACCGGGAGTAAAACAGCGATCTTCTGACTGAACAGGGGTTTTTTTAAGGGTCCCCTCCAGAAGGCTTTTTTTTTTTTCTTTTTTTAATCTTGCAAGCAAGCATTTATGGTAACAAAACCCTGGGTACTGGAACGGGAACCCTGCAACCTGCAGCGCAGGTCCTATGACCAAAGCACCCAGTGACCGCTGCAGGACCCACACGCTGTAAGGCTAAAATCACTTCTTTCCCACACACATGCTTCAGGAATAAGTCCCGCTCACTTGATGATCCCATTGCCCTGCTTCTGGGGTTCTTCCCCATGCTGGCA